TAAGGACATTTAAACACAATCGGCATTCCAGTTGGTGTGTTTGATCTGCACATGCACAACACCTCTTACAAAAACAAGTAGTGAAGAAGTCAATCTCTCTTCCACTTTGAGCCATGAGAGATTGACATGCATGTCATTAATGTTAGCTCTCTGCGTACATCCAAGGGCCAGCCGTGCTGCCCTGTTCTGAGCCAACTGCAATTTTCCTAAGTCCCTCTTTGTGGCACCTGACCACACGACTGAACATTAGTCCAGGTGTGACAAAACTAGGGCCTGTAGGACCTGCCTTGTTGATAGTGCTGTTAAGAAGGTAGAGCAGCGCTTCATTATGGACAGACTTCTCCCCATCTTAGCTACTGTTGTATCAATATGTTTTGACCATGACAATTTACAATCCAGGGTTACTCCAAGCAGTTTAGTCACCTCAACTTGCTCAATTTCCACATTATTCATTACGAGATGTAGTTGAGGTTTAGTGAATGATTTGTCCCAAATACAATGCTTTTAGTTTAGGAAATATTTAGGACTAACTTATTCCTTGCTACCCATTCCGAAACTAACTGCAGCTCTTTGTTAAGTGTTGCAGTCGCTGTAGTTGCTGACGTGTATATAGTGTTGAGTCATCCGCATACATAGACACACTGGCTTTAAATCAAAGCCAGTGGCATGTCATTAGTAAAGATTGAAAAAACTAAGAGGCCTAGACAGCTGCCCTGGGGAATTCCTGATTCTACCTGGATTATGTTGGAGAGGCTTCCATTAAAGAACACCCTCTGTGTTCTGTTAGACAAGTAACTCTTTATCCACAATATAGCAGGGGGGTGTAAAGCCATAACATATGTTTTTCCAGCAGCAGATTATGATCGAAAATGTCAAAAGCTGCACTGAAGTCTAACAAAACAGCCCCCACCCCGGTGGCTTGTCATTGTTGATCAACAATAATATTTGTTTCACCTCTTCCACACTGACTTTACGGAATTCAAAAGTGAAAACCTTGTCTTTCATAATTTGGTCAGATATACTTGGATGTGGTGTAAGCGTTTGTTGCTGGCATATCATACCTAAGTTTGCTTATCTTGCCAATTCAAAAGTCATTAAAGTAATTGGCAATGTCAGTGGGTTTTGTGTTGAATGAGCCATCTGATTCAATGAATGATGGAGCAGTGTTTGCATTTTTCCCCAAAATGTCATTTAAGGTGCTCCAAAGCTTTTTACTATCATTCTTTATATCATTTATCTTTGTTTCATAGTATCGTTTTTTATTTAGTTTAGTCATATGTATATAGATTTTCTATTGTGTTATTGACTGTACGTTTAGTTTATTCCATATGTAACTCTGTGTTGTTGTTTTTAAATCGCACTGCTTTGCTTTATCTTGGCCAGGTCGCAGTTGTAAATGAGAACTTGTTCTCAACTGGCTTACCTGGTTAAATAAAGGTGAAATAAAATAAAATAAAAATATTATTTCTTAAATTTGCAGTACGTTTGCCAATCAGTTGGGCTGCCAGACTTATTTGCCATACCTTTTGCCTCATCCCTCTCAACCATACCATTTTTCAATTCCTCATCATCCATCCAAGGGGATTTAATCGTTTTTAGTCATTTTCTTAAATGGGTGTGTGCTTATTAGTAACTGGAATAAGCAATTTCATAAATGTGTCAAGTGCATCGTCTGGCTGCTCCTCATTACACACCACAGACCTGCAAATATTATTTACATCATCAACATATGAATCACTACAAAACATATTGTATGACCTCTTATACACTATATTAGGCCCAGGCTTTGGAACTTTGGTTTTCCTAGAAATGAGGACTCAACTCTTGCCAGTTCACTAAACCTATCTTGTGGTCCGAGTCCTCTTTGCATTCACATTGCTATGTTTAGAAAGGAACCAAGATCCTTTCCCAACATTCACTCAAAGCACTGTGGGTTTTTACAAAGTGCAGGACAAGCCATTCCATCAGAATGCATCGGACAGCTAGATATAATAACTACTTACATTTTGGAAGCTAATAGATTGCATTTAGTTCAAAGATGAGACAATCATTGTAATCAGAAGATACTATTAACGTGTAAATATTAACAGAACAAATAGCAGAAGAATAACTGCAGATTATATAATGCTGTAATTGAAAATTGTACACCCAATGTAGGCTACTGGCCCTTCAAGAGCTAGAATTGATTTTGTACCCCATGGTGTGATTCTCACCAAATATATTGTCTTCTCACACTATTCAAACCCCACAATCAATAAACCCTCTCTTAGCCTATAGATCACATATTGCAAACAAATAATCTGCACTAAAAACTCCACAGGTTTTGGAATTTCTGTGCATCCTTGACAACCGCTACTCAATATCCAAAAAACGGCACACGTTTTTTTCTGCGAACCTGCACATCAGCTCTCTTTTGTGGCACCAATGTGAGGGTTTATGGCAGGGAAAACGGTGTAGCAGTAATGTGTGGTGGGGGAAAAATTACAAGCAACCCGCGGAATTCAAGCAAACCGAACTCAGACCAACCTCTCGAGATGGTCTCAGTTCGGTTCGCTTTGGGTGCTCCTTTGAGGGGTCTGATTTCTATTGGTGTTCACACTGCAACAACAAAAATGTACCGCACTGAGTTCACAAACATGGTCTGATAGGGACCAAACACCCTTAGAAGTAAACAAACTTTATATGTCCGAACCCAAAAATAACATGGTCTCTGTGGTAGAACATTTAGATTTTCTACATTTATCAGTGCCATCAGGCAGCCTGCTTTCAGATGTGTCTATGTAAACAGGATTATTAGGGAAATAGTTATTGCAAAGTATATAAATGTTTTAATCTAACATTTATATTAATCTGACTATCCACAATAAATCGCATTATTGAGCGCATGTAACCCTACTCACTGTCTGGGATTCTGTGTGTAAATCAAGCAAAGCACAGTGGGCAAACAGGCCCCCTAGTGGCGTGTCGGTTCACTACAAGATGCAGACCTAATCAATCCATCCAGTGTCCATGATGTACAGGGGCGGCAGGTCGCCTGGCGCAGACCTAATCAATCCATCCAGTGTCCATGATGTCCAGGGGCGGCAGGTCACCTGGCGCAGACCTAATCAATCAATCCAGTGTCCATGATGTCCAGGGGCGGCAGGTCGTCTGGCGCAGACCTAATCAATCCATCCAGTGTCCATGATGTCCAGGGGCGGCAGGTCGCCTGGCGCAGACCTAATCAATCAATCCAGTGTCCATGATGTCCAGGGGCGGCAGGTCGTCTGGCGCAGACCTAATCAATCCATCCAGTGTCCATGATGTCCATGAGCGGCAGGTAGCCTGGCGGTTAAGAGCTTTGGGCAACCGGAAGGTTGTTGGTTTGAATCTGAGCCGACTAGGTGAAAAATCTGTCGATGTGCCCTTGAGCAAGGCACTTAAGCCTAATTGCTCCTGTAAGTCACTCTGGATAAGAGTGTCTGCTGAATGATGTAAATGTATGATGAGGTCCATTTCGTTAATGTATGATGAGGTCCATTTCGTTAATGTATGATGGGGTGCATTTCGTTAATGTATGATGGGGTGCATTTCGTTAATGTATGATTAGGTGCATTTCGTTTGACATTTTAGCTAAAACACAATGTCTCAGAATGCATTTTAAATAGAAATATGCATCTTTGTTAGTCCAGTTATTTAATATTACATTGCAAAACCTAAAAACTTCACTCCTTCGGGAGAGCGAAATGTTTGACAAATCTTTATTTTATCAAGGTCATTTAAAAAAAAACATAGATCAAATATAAACAATGTGCTTTTTAAAGCGTGTGCAATTTCTAATACAAAAACAAAGTTCAAACTTTATGGAACAATGATTGTGTTGATTGTGGAAAACCACTTCCGCCTGTCCAAGCACTGAGCTTACTTTTAAAGTTCATGAACAGGTCAACTGACCAAAACCCCATATCGGCCCTGTCACATGACATCAGCCATGACAAAACATGGCAAAAATGTTGTCTGTCTGCCAGCCCCATGCAGAACCCCAGTGGAGAGGAAATGGAGCTGCAATGGTCTCTGGCTACATCCCAAATGGCACCCTGTTCCCTATGTGGCTCTGGTCAAATGTAGTGCACTATATAGGGTGCCATTTGGGATGCAGCCTCTGACTGGACCAGGCCTGGTGGAACCAACGTTACTCATTACCCATCTACCCCACCACCTCACCATGGTAACCACATCAAGCTGCCCAGACCACCACGCTACGCTTCCCACTGGGAGAGGGTTTAACATGTAATCACATCCTTCCTCCTCACTTCATTAAGTGCATCTGGAACAAATAAGACGTTGGGATGTTGCCCGGACCAGGAACGGAACAATGAGACGTTGGGATGTTGCCCGGACCAGGAACGGAACAATGAGACGTTGGGATGTTGCCCGGACCAGGAACGGAACAATGAGACGTTGGGATGTTGCCCGGACCAGGAATAGAACAATGAGACGTTGGGATGTTGTCCGGACCAGGAATGGAACACATGTCTCTGACAGCAGACAGGCTGCTGCCATCCAGGTGGGGACTGTTCTGACTAGCTGCGTTACCATGGACGCATCCCAAATGACACCTAACTGAAAACAAAATAGCATGACTCATTTAGCTTCGTCCCACATCTGTTCTGTTTGTGTTCTTGCCAACTCCATTGCTCATTGTTTGTCATGACAATGAGTGACAGTTGGCATGATAACACAGACAGACTGGCACTCAGGTTAGGACCCATTGGCACCACTGGAACATATTTCACTGGATTCTAATTAGAGGAATTAGCTCATGAACGTGTATTTTCTCAACCCACATTGAAGAGATAATTTTCAGTGCTGGAAGGGCAACGTTCTGTTTCAAGGCAAGCCTATTTCCTAAGGCTTTTGCGACATGGGCACAAAGAAACAGTGACTTTACACACCACAGTTCCTGCAGCCATAACCCCAGCAGACTAAAACATTCCAGTGAAACTAAACCAGGGTAATCCCTAACGTTTCTCAGCTGTTTGTGTTTCTGTGCTGCTCGCTGCTACATAACAGGGCAACAATGGCCTGCTTGTGACAACAACATTAGACAAATTACAGATCATGAGCTGACGCCAGAAGAGACAGATCATGAGCTGAGACCAGAAGAGACCGATCATGAGCTGAGGCCAGAAGAGACCGATCATGAGCTGAGGCCAGAAGAGACCGATCATGAGCTGAGGCCAGAAGAAACCGATCATGAGCTGAGGCCAGAAGAGACAGATCATGAGCCGAGGCCAGAAGAAACCAATCATGAGCTGAGGCCAGAAGAGGCAGATCATGAGCTGAGGCCAGAAGAGACCGATCATGAGCTGAGGCCAGAAGAGACAGATCATGAGCTGAGGCTAGAAGAGACCGATCATGAGCTGAGGCCAGAAGAGACCGATCATGAGCTGAGGCCAGAAGAGACCGATCATGAGCTGAGGCCAGAAGAGACAGGCTGATTGTGGGCCGGCCAGACTAAACCACTGATTCAAGCTGGTAACAAACAGAGCCACTGTTCAGCTGCCAGTCAGAGTCCAGGACACCTGTGGACCAGGCCAGCTGTGTGTGAGTGAGTGAGTGAGTGAGTACAAGTGCGGTTAGAGAGAACAAAGTGCGGTAAGTCGGTCGGCAGTATTCACCATCAGCTCAGTCAGATGCAGTTTATCAGCTCCAGTCAATATGGACAGTCAATAAGGCAGGAGGAGGAAGACTTAGGGTTCATCTGAAATGGCACCCTATTTCCTAAGGCTTTGGCCAAAAATAGTACACCATAATGGGATTAGGGTGCCGTATTGGACAAAGGCTTCATAGTTCATTCTTCCATATGACCTTCAGCAGGGATCCAGTATAGTCCATACTACAGATGCAGTGACCCACTCAGACCCAGCAGTCCTCAGGCCAGTCAGGGTAGGGCCTCACCAGTTAGCTGGATAGTGAGGCTTCCACTGGTATCCATCTGAACCAACAGCAGGCTGGAATGGTTGCCAGTTACAACCGGTTTGAACTGGACTGGGAGGTGGATGTAGCGTTGGGATCTGGAGGGCAGGGAGAAATGGTAAGAAATCAATACATGGACCAAGTATGTTCGGGTTCAAAGAAACACACAGACAAAACATGGACAGTTACAGACAGACAAAACATGGACCGTTACAGACAGACAAAACATGGACTGAGACAGACAGACAAAACATGGACAGTTACAGACAGACGAAACATGGACAGTTACAGACAGACAAAACATGGACTGTTACAGACAGACAAAACATGGACAGTTACAGACAGACGAAACATGGACAGTTACAGACAGACAAAACATGGACAGTTACAGACAGACGAAACATGGACAGTTACAGACAGACGAAACATGGACAGTTACAGACAGACAAAACATGGACTGTTACAGACAGACGAAACATGGACAGTTACAGACAGACAAAACATGGACTGAGACACACTTTGAGCTGTGATATGAGCAGATGCAAATAATAACATTGCACTGTGTTGATCATGATTACACACCTGACCTGTTGGAATAGAATAGTGTCATCTGACAGATACTGTATAGGTAGTGACAATAGACTGTTTCTTTGGCAAACTCAAACTGGGAAGACAAAAAAAGATAAAGATGTAGCAACAGAAGTTCATTCCACATGGCGATGACGTGAGAATGAGAACGCTATGCATCATGGGAGGAGTCAGGACATGCAGCAAGGTGCCATTCTCCACACCACACCAACTCCAGTATACATTACACCACAGCTAGTACCTGACCTCACCCCCAGGCCCAGACCAACACAGTAACCTGCTGTCCAGACGATCTCAGGCTGACCCCTGACCTCACCCCCAGGCCCAGAGCCTGACCAACACAGTAGCCTGCTGTCCAGACGCTGTCAGGCTGACCCCTGACCTCACCCCCAGGCCCAGAGCTGACCAACACAGTAGCCTGCTGTCCAGACGCTCTCAGGCTGACCCCTGACCTCACCCCAGGCCCAGAGCCTGACCAACACAGTAGCCTGCTGTCCAGACGCTGTCAGGCTGACCCCTGACCTCACCCCCAGGCCCAGAGCTGACCAACACAGTAGCCTGCTGTCCAGACGCTCTCAGGCTGACCCCTGACCTCACCCCCAGGCCCAGACCAACACAGTAACCTGCTGTCCAGACGATCTCAGGCTGACCCCTGACCTCACCCCCAGGCCCAGAGCCTGACCAACACAGTAGCCTGCTGTCCAGACGCTGTCAGGCTGACCCCTGACCTCACCCCCAGGCCCAGAGCTGACCAACACAGTAGGCTGCTGTCCAGACGCTCTCAGGCTGACCCCTGACCTCACCCCCAGGCCCAGAGCTGACCATCACAGTAGGCTGCTGTCCAGACGCTCTCAGGCTGACCCCTGACCTCACCCCCAGGCCCAGAGCCTGACCAACACAGTAGCCTGCTGTCCAGACGATCTCAGGCTGACCCCTAACCTCACCCCCAGGCCCAGAGCTGACCAACACAGTAACCTGCTGTCCAGACGATCTCAGGCTGACCCCTGACCTCACCCCCAGGCCCAGAGCTGACCAACACAGTAACCTGCTGTCCAGACGATCTCAGGCTGACCCCTGACCTCACCCCCAGGCCCAGAGCCTGACCAACACAGTAGCCTGCTGTCCAGACGCTGTCAGGCTGACCCCTGACCTCACCCCCAGGCCCAGAGCTGACCAACACAGTAGGCTGCTGTCCAGACGCTCTCAGGCTGACCCCTGACCTCACCCCCAGGCCCAGAGCTGACCAACACAGTAGCCTGCTGTCCAGACGCTCTCAGGCTGACCCCTGACCTCACCCCCAGGCCCAGAGCTGACCAACACAGTAACCTGCTGTCCAGACGCTCTCAGGCTGACCCCTGACCTCACCCCCAGAGCCTGACCAACACAGTAGCCTGCTGTCCAGACGCTCTCAGGCTGACCCCTGACCTCAGGACCAGACCAACACAGTAGCCTGCTGTCCAGACGCTCTCAGGCTGACCCCTGACCTCAGCCCCAGACCAACACAGTAGCCTGCTGTCCAGATGCTCTCAGGCTGACCCCTGACCTCAGGCCCAGAGCCTGACCAACACAGTAGCCTGCTGTCCAGACGCTCTCAGGCTGACCCCTGACCTCACCCCCAGGCCCAGAGCTGACCAACACAGTAACCTGCTGTCCAGACGCTCTCAGGCCGATCCCGCTCAGTGGTCTTCAACAGCATTAGGAGCAGGGAGTCACACTCAGGTTACACACACTGCATCAATCACAGCCTTTCAGTACATCATAGCCAGGTCCCAGACCTGGTTGGGCCATCTTGGTCAACTTCTATGGTCATTGTATAGATCTGCGGCCAGGCTAACAGAAGAGGAATACGACCATCGTGATGTGGTGTTGACTCACCTTAGTGAATATTTGGAATGCTTGATGTGGAAAGGCTCTCTAGGGCTTAGGAACCTCAGCTGCAACATTAGACAAGCTCAACATCAAATCCATGCAACGCAAAGCATTCTTGGTAGTTATCACATCAATCACACAGCTCATGCAATGATTATGTGTGTGTGTGTGTGTGTGTGTGTGTGTGTTGCTCACCCCATGCGTGTCAAAGGAGTTGTTTCTCATGTTGACCTTCAGCGTGCTGGTCTCCCCCACCCTGGTAGGGGGGAAGGAGTAGAGGACCTGAGGGGCGTACACACCCCTACCAAGAGCCTCTTCCTGACTGGAACACAACATCCACCTGTCACAACCTCATACATTTAACATCCACCTGGCCCTTCCTCCTCCGTGGGCTTCTGAGCAGTTATCCTTCAGATCAAATCAAGAGCTATATCTGAATGTTTACCAGATAGCCAGCTGACTGACTAACTAGTGCTCCTGTTTTGTGATACACTCCTCTTGTTTTTATAGTCAACACTAGTGAGACATGACTGCCAGTCCTTACCCAGTCCTGCCCCCAGCAGCAGCAACAACAGGGTCAGGTCTCATCCTGGTCTTGAAGGTAGCATCAGTCTTCACCAAAGAACAGTCTGCTTCCTGAGGAGCCTCCACTGGACCAACCTTAACACCCTGAAACACACAATCATCATCATCATCACCACCACCGCAACCCGCAACCCCCCCCCCCCCCCCCCCCCCCCCTATTCAAAACGACCCTACTTTAAAAAACTCTCTCTTCATCCTTCTGCTAGTTGAGACTTGCTCACATTGGGAAGACTTCTGCAAAGCAGGAAGTCACCCTGCAGTATATGATGATGTCCTATAACAGTCTACTCACAGTGCCACAGAGCTGGAAGCGTATCCTGGTCTTGTGCTGAGGCTCGGCCACAGGGTGACACTCCAGGTCCCAGAACTGAGCATAGTCCCCTCGGTCCCTCGGCAGGAAGGTGATGGGCACCTGGAGAGGAGACACAGACATCAACAGGAGGACAACACCCATCATGGGCTAAGCCCCACAAGGCATCCTATTGACCGGAGACACATAGGACATGCCCAGTCATCCTCCAAATGGTAATATGTATGGAAGGGCTATTCAACTAGATTCTTACGGGGGCCAGATTTATAATATAATATGCCATTTAGCAGACGCTTTTATCCAAAGCGACTTACAGTCATGTGTGCATACATTTTTCCCTTTGGGTGGTCCCAATTCTTTTTGCTTAATGTTCAGAATCGATCAAAGGGCCATTCTAAATGGATAAACTGGCCAGATCTGGCCCGCGGGCCACCAGTTGAATAGCCCTGATGTATGTTCTGGGGCCAGAGGTGTGACTGGGTAAAGCTAGGAGGTCAGTAACCCTAATAAAGCCATAGGTATGGGTAGGGGTAGAGATGGAGTAATCACCTGCATCTTGTCGTGTGCTCCCAGGGTTCCAGAGACTCTGGGACATCTGAAGGCTGTGTAGGTGGCCCGGTAAACGTCCCCACTGCTGTCCACCCCCTTTACATAGGGAGGGGCGAAGGATGACAGGTACCACCTCACCTGTTCTCCTCTATTCTCCACCTCCACAGAGGACTCTGACCAAGGAAGAGACAGCCTTTAGATCAAAACACTGGAAAACCACCCACTCATGCAGGAACAGTCTTCAAAAACATACACAGCATTTTGTATTATCCTAGAGGGGAAATGTGTTTATTTTGACTGGCAATTGCAAAGTACAGAGATTATAGATATGTCCCAATGCTGAGTAACGCTGGGGAGTCAGAGATTATAGATATGTCCCAATGCTGAGTAACGCTGGGAGTCAGAGATTATAGATATGTCCCAATGCTGAGTAACGCTGGGGTCAGAGATGATAGATATGTCCCAACGCTGAGTAACGCTGGGAGTCAGATTATAGATATGTCCCAATGCTGAGTAACGCTGGGGAGTCAGAGATTATAGATATGTCCCAATGCTAAGTAACGCTGGGGAGTCAGAGATTATAGATATGTCCCAACGCTGAGTAACGCTGGGAGTCAGAGTGTCTCCTACCTGAGGTGTCTCCTGAGGGCGTGGCAGGAAACATGATGGTGCGGTTACTGATCTCCACCGTGGCTGGAGCTGCCCTGGTCAGGGTCTGGGGGGGTCGGCCTGCAGGGGGCAGCATGGTGGTGGGCATGGGGGTAGCAGTCTGGGGGGGAAGGGGGGCTAGGGACCGGTCTGCTGGGGCGGTTGATACATCCAGAGCTAGGTCCTGACGGATCTGGATTCTGATGAACTGGAGAGAAAATAACATGTTAACAATAAACTAACATTAATCTAGGATGACGCTAATTCAAAGTACATCATGTTAGCAGTTACAATACAACAGTATGATGGAGAGAACATCAAGAGGGTGAGGTGACCACTACATCAAGACATTGAGGAGGTGACCACTACATCAAGACATTGAGGAGGTGACCACTACATCAAGACATTGAGGAGGTGACCACTACATCAAGACATTGAGGAGGTGACCACTACATCAAGACATTGAGGAGGTGACCACTACCTTCTGTTGGCTGTCACACTGGACATAGATCTGTCCACTCCATGGCAATGTGGAAGACCTGGTTGCTAGGGACGGATTAGGACTGATGAGGATCTGGAGGTGGCACCTGGGAAAACAACAACTAACTATGGTGAAACATTCCTATTAATATAGTCACCTGGGAAAACAACAACTAACTATGGTGAAACATTCCTATTAATATAGTCACCTGGGAAAACAACAACTAACTATGGTGAAACATTCCTATTAATATAGTCACCTGGGAAAACAACAACTAACTATGGTGAAACATTCCTATTAATATAGTCACCTGGGAAAACAACAACTAACTATGGTGAAACATTCCTATTAATATAGTCACCTGGGAAAACAACAACTAACTATGGTGAAACATTCCTATTAATATAGTCACCTGGGAAAACAACAACTAACTATGGTGAAACCCTCCTACTCATAATACCACAAAGTAGCTGACATGAGACATGAGTTTGAGGAAAAATACAGTATTTAAGAGTTTGTACAACATTGGACTGGCTACTAAGAAGGAAACCATTTGAAGCCCAGTTCTGGGATGATAACACAGGATTTATGAATAGAATAAGGTGTGTGCAAGGCTTCCTATCCTGTGGTTCTATGTAGAAGTTCATGCTGAGCTGTAACGGTTGGCTGGACAGGACAACTCAAAGCTGTGTGTGTGTGTGTGTGTGTGTGTGTGTGTGTGTACGTACTGTGGTTCTATGACTCCATGCTGAGGGGTAACAGTGAGACAGTGGGCTGGCCAGGACAACTCAAAGCTCAGCTCTCTGGATGATGAGTGGTTCTGGATCTGGACGTGTCTGGTTTCGGCGACTCCGTCTGGACACATTATCAACCAAAGGAAAGGGTTCACAATTCTACTCTGCTAAAAACCACACTTTTTATGAAAAGAAAACCTGGAGCAGCAACGTTTCTGTCCTGAGAGACCTTGCTCAGGCTGCAAAGAGCACAGAGTTTGTCACAAACAGAAGAGACCTTGCACAGGCTGCAAAGAGCACAGAGTTTGTCACAAACAGAAGAGACCTTGCTCAGGCTGCAAAGAGCACAGAGTTTGTCACAAACATTGACATGATAATACTGACTGATAGTGGGAGAGGTGAGAACCAGCTGTTCAGGCTGGAGGCTCCAGGAGTCCCTGTGGTCCCCTGGTTCTGTCCCCGTCTGAGAGGCCTCTGTCCTGGGTAACGCTGGGCCTTGAGGACCCTTCACAGGCAGTACATCCAGAGACACGTTGCTGATGTGACGGTCTGAGTTGCCAAAACCACTACAACATGATAATAACAACGTTATACAACCATTAACATCATACTGTTAGTATAAGTCAACACCACTAGAACAACGTTATATAACCATTAAAGGGATACTTTGGGATTTTGTCAATGAGGCCATTTACAATGCCTTCAGAAAGTATTCACACCCCTTGACCTTTTCCACGCTGTTGTGTTACAGCCTGAATTTAAAATGGACTCAATTCGTTTTTTATTTGTTTTTTTATCACTGGCCTACAAACAATACCCCATAATGTCAAAGTGGAATTATGTTTAGACATTTTTACAAATTAATAAAAAAATGAAAAGCTGAAATGTCTTGAGTCAGTTAGTATTCAACCCCTTCGTCATGGCAAGTTTAAATAAGTTGAGTAAAAATGTGCTTAACAAGTCACATAATAAGTTGCATGTGTGCAATAATAGTGTTTAACATGATTGTTGAATGACTACCTCATCTCTGTACCCCACACATACAATTATCTGTAAGGTCCCTCAGTCGAGCAGTGAATTTCAAAACAGATTCAACCACAAAAAGGAGGTTTTCCAATGTCTCGCAAAGAAGGGCACCTATTGGTAGATGGGTAAAAAAAAAAAAAAAGCAGATATTGAATATCCTGTTGAGCATGGTGAAGTTATTGAGCGCATCCTGTCGGGCTGTATCACCGCCTGGTACGGCAACTGCACCACCCGCAACCGCAGGGCTCTCCAGAGGGTGGTGCGGTCTGCCGAACGCATTACCGGGGGCACACTGCCTGCCCTCCAGGACACCTACAGCACCCGATGTCACAGGAAGGCCAAAACGATCTTTTATTTTTATTTTTTTATTTTAGTCATTTTAGCAGACGCTCTCATCCAGAGCAATTTACAGTTAGTACATTATTTATATATTTTTTTCATACTGGCCCCCCGTGGGAATCGAACCCACAACCCTGGCGTTGCAAACCCCATGCTCTACCAACTGAGCTACATCATCAAGGACAACCACCCAAGCCACTGCCTGTTCACCCCGGTATCATCCAGAAGGCGAGGTCAGTACAGGTGCATCAAAGCTGGAACCGAGAGACTGAAAAACAGCTTCTATCTCAAGGCCATCAGACTGTTAAATAGCCATCACTAGCACATTAGAGGCTGCTGCTGCCTGTTGAAATCACTGGCCACTTTAAAAAAATGGAACACTAGTCACTTTAATAATGTTTACATATCTGCATTACTCATCTCATATGTATATACTGTATTCTATACTATTCTACTGTATTTTAGTCCATGCCGCTCTAACATCGCTTGTCCATATATGTATATATTCTTAATTCATTCCTTACATAGATTTGTGTGTATTGGGTACATGTTGTGAAATTGTTAGATATTACTGCACTGTCGGAGCTAGAAGCACAAGCATTTCACTACACCCGCAATAACATCTGCTAAACACGTGTATGTGATCAATAAAATTTGATTTGAATTACACTTTGGATGGTGTATCAATACACAGTCACTACAAAGATACAGGCGTCCTTCCTAACTCAGTTGCTGGAGAGGAAGGAAACCGCTCAGGGATTTCACCACGAGGCCAATGGTGACTTTAAAACAGTTAGAGAGTTTAATGGCTGTGATGGGAGAAAACTGAGGATGGATCAACAACATTGTAGTTACTCCACAATACTAACCTAAATGACAGTGAAAATAAGGAAGCTTGTACAGAATAAAAATATTCTGTTTGCAACTGCAAAAAAATGTGGCAAAGCAATTCACTTTTTGTCCTGAATACATTTTACAATTTTGTCATTTAGCAGATGCTCTTATCCAGAGCGACTTGCAGTTATTGAGTGCATAATTTTTTTTTTTTTCATAATCGAACCCACAACCCTGGCGTTGCAAGCGCCATGCTCTACCAACTGAGCTACACGGGGCCCATGTACAACACATTACTGAGTACCACTCCCCATATTTTCAAGCATGGTGGTGGCTGCATCATGTTATGATGGGTATGCTTGTAATCGTTAAGGACTGGGGAGTTATTTTGGGGATAAAAAAAGAAACGGAATGGAGCTAAGCACAGGCAAAATCCTAGAGGAAACCCTGTTTCAGTCTGGTTTCCACTAGACACTGGGAGATGAATTCACCTTTCAGCAGGACAATCAATAACCTAAAATACAAGGCCAAATCTACACTGGAGTTGCTTCCCAAGAAGACAGTGAATGGTTCCTGAGTGACTAGTTAGTTTTCAATTAAATCTGCTTAAAAATCTATGGCAAGACCTGAAAATGGTTGTCTAGCAATGATCAACAACCAACTTGACAGAACATGAAGAATTTTGAAAAGAATAATGTGAAATGTTGCACAATCCAGGTGTGGAAAGCTCTTAGAGACTTACCCAGAAAGACTCACAGCTGTAATCGCTGCCGACATGTATTGACTTGGGGGGGTTCAATACTAATCTAAATCAAGATAGTTTTATTTTTTATGAATTTTATACAAATGTTTGAATTTTCTTCCACTTTGACATTAGAGTATGTTGTGTTGATAAAAAATTACAATTAAATCCCACTTTGTAAGAGAACAAAATGTGTTAAAAGTCCAGGGGTGTGAATACTTTCTGATGGCACAGTATCTACTTCCCCAGATTCAGATGAACTCGTGGATACCACTAATGTCTCTGTGAGCGGTTTGAAGGAAGTTGCTAACTAGCTCTAGCGCAATTGCTAACTAGCGTTAGCAGAACTGCTAAGTAGCATTAGCATAATGACCGGAAGCCAATCTGCTAGCATGCTACCAGTTGCGCTAACGCTAGTTAGCAATTGCACTAGCGCTAGTCAGCAACTTCCTTCAAACCACTCAGACATAAAAATGGTATCCATGAGTTCATCTGACTCTGGGGCAGTAAATAAAGGGACTCATCAACAAACTTCCGAAGTATCCCTTTATCATCATACTGTTAGTATACCTCAAGTAACAGAATGTGTTTGGAGGACCAGGATAAGATTTGTTTCAGACATGATGGGCTGGTTTCTCAGACACAGATGAAGCGTAGCCCTGGACTAAAAATATATTTCAATGGAGATTCTCCTTTGAGCAAATGTCCTTGTCTAGGACTCACTAGGCTTTACCTGTGTCTGGGAAACTGCCCCCATGACCGCATTTACTCAGGGTGCAAAATTATTGGCAAAAGATGTGATTGGTCAAAATAACAATTTGTGGCAAAATATCAGAATTGGGCTGCTTGTGTGTTATAAGCAGAAAGAAACACACTAGGAACCAAATGAGAAGGTGTTACATGAAAACATTCATATGATTATGTTCTTTCCTAAGGTATGATATTCCCCCTGTCAGTCCCAGTACCTGTCAGCCTCTGAGCCTCTCCTGGTGACAGCTAGGGGGGGCTGAACGTGGACCTGGTGGTCACTCTCTCCAGAGTCCAATGTCTCTGTGCTGCCCAGCACTGACAACACCACCTTACTCAGGTTCCCATAGAACAACTGGGCCTGGTTGGGGCTCTGGGGAAGGTCGTAGGCTGGAGACAGACAGCATTGGAAACCATGAGCTAAACATAGGGGGTCAAGTCTACACTTCCACATGTGTACTTGGAGGAATAAAAGTGAATACATACATACATACATACATACATACATACATACATACAGACACAGGACTATACATCCTTTAATAACAGAACCGCTGGTCATTTTGACCATTTTATTATATTTAATTTATTTTAGGAGGGCATGTCATTTTTATGAATGGTTTCCCCCCGTTGCCCCTCCTTCTCCCAACACTAAGGCCCGCTCTGCTCCTTCTTCCGACAGTTGAAAGTGCAGCGCCCAGCTGATAATCACACCGACATTTGCCTGGAAACTGAACCTAAACTGTACTGAAACTAATTTCACATTTAACAGATAAAATATACTGGGGAGAGTTGATGAGTGACGGGGAGCGAACGATTCAGAGTTATGGAATCACATTGTGATGAAGTAAAGGGACAGTTGATGAGCGACTGGGAGCAAATGATTCAGAGTTATGGTATCACATTGTGATGAAGAACAGGGACAGTTGATGAGTGGTCGACGGTGTTGGGAGGAACGGTTCAGAGTTATGGAATCACATTGTGATGAAGAACAGGGACATTCTAATATACTGACCCATTCTAATTCTAATCTTAACATCGTATGTACCCTATATCAGTCTACTCTGGCCTACTTGGAGTAGGCTACACAGTGATAGCGTGTGTAATTGTACATGCTGAACGGATTTCAATATCTGGGAAAATATCCACATCGGGCAGCAGGGGCGAGTGTCGGAGACTGTGGTGAAAAAAATAAATAATAATTAATTATAGATATATATATATAATATAATATAAATATAGTAAGTGGTTGTCACCTGGCTAATCATAAAGGTGAATGCACCAATTTGTAAGTCGCTCTGGATAAGAGCGTCTGCTAAATGACGAAAATGTAAATGTAAGAAGGATCTGGATCAAGGTTGGAGTGTCGGAGAATGGGGTGATGAGGCTTGTGGAACGTTGGCAACGGGAGCAATGTCACCATGGACAATTTATTCACTTCACTGTCATTGGAGAACAAGTTGCCTGCAAAGGAAAGAAGTCTGGCCGGCACCATGAACAATTAATAGGGGAGGACGGGCTCGTGGTAATGGCTGGAGCGGAATGGGTCAAATAAGTCAAACACATGATTTCCAGGTATTTGATGACATTCCATTCGCTCTGTTCCAGCCATTATTATAAGCCATCCTCCCATTTTAATTGTTCATGGTGCAGGCCAGACTTCTTCTCTTTGCAGGCAACTTGTTCTCCAATGACAGTGAAGTGAATAAATTGTCCATGGTGACATTGCTCCCGTTGCCAACGTTCCACAAGCCTCATCACCCCATTCTCCGACACTCCAACCTTGATCCAGGCACAACGGTCTTTACCGGAGTAACGAATGAGACACCAAAATATTCCAACACTTGGGCTGTTGTTGCATCACATGCACAATCACAACAGCTATTAGTCACTTGACTGTCATTCAGAAAATTCCTTCCTGGATCAGGTGTGAAAATATTATAAACTGCTCAACAGCAAATGCGCATCCAACAAGTATTATGCATAATCATTGAAGAACCACGTTAATGACAGTATTGATTTAGGTTTTAAGTATCAAGGTAAGGTGATTTTCAGTTAGAAGCATTTGATTTTGCAATCGCATTGATTTTGGGGGATTTGTGTGCCCATGAGAACTGTTTTCACCCCGTAACATAAGGAGACACAAAATATTACGTAGTTAGACTGCATTTCTGAGATCTCTACACAAAAAATGTCTGACAGCTAGATCCACGATCCTTACAGGGTTCATGTTTAATGTCTAATTTAACTGACTAATGCTTAATATTTGATATAACGACAACTTACACTGCTATAAATGTAAGGACAGAAAAGTAATGTTTTATGTCCCATGATTTTGGACAAATCCATCAAGAAGCCAACCATGAGAAAGTGTTAAACATAGGTTTTAAATCAACTCATGAATATTTTTGAATATAGCCATGTTCCCCCCTTATATCTTAATGTAATGACATGAACATGTGAAGGAACATTTTATGTTTGTGCGTCTCTAATGACCAATTCGACTGGGTTCATGCAAGTGACTGATTGATGGTGCCTGGGTGAAATGCTCACTATCAGTATAAGCAATTTGGCAGTCCGCCCAGAACATTGTTTTGAGAATCGAAAGGGCTTTCTCAGTTTCAAGGTCTCAGCTTGGAGAGAAAAAGCCTTGTGAGGTATTGGTCGGTCACATGCACGAACCAAAAGTTAATGATGAATTCATTATGAATAATGAATAATGTAAATCATGCAAATATAACTTGTCTGTGTAAGCAGTATATAAGAGAACTAACGGGACTGCCCCGGCGGAGCTGCCGACCGACGTGTACTACGTTGCATTGAGTTTGTTGGAACCTCTCCAGCTTGCTGATAATAAAGAATGATTAATTTAAGATTGACTTCAGGTGTCCCTGGTGGTAATTCCACAACAAACATTTTTTTGCTGATTATTATGAATGACTTATCGACAGCTGTTGTCCAGCGTAGTAAATCCTCACTGATACCCTAGTTTCTAGAACAGGGGTCTCCAACAGGTTGATCTACCAGTAGCTACCAGACCACCTATGAGCAGCTCGCCAAAATCAATTCAGACCGCAAAATGTGACAAACAAATATCACAAGTATCAGACTCTGGAAGCTCCCAGCTACTATCTAACCAAGGCAACATTGACATTTTCCCACTCCTGTTCTAGAAAGACCCATGACCCTTACCCTCCAGGACCTGCTCCTCCCCCAGGAACCTCTCGTTGAAGTTGAGTCCTTTCAGCAGACTGTTCTCCGACAGAATCTTCCTGCCTGCCTCGGGCTTCGACAGCAGCAACCTGGGGGACAGGAGATGGAGAGAGTAGTGAAATGAGTCTCCTTACAGTGTGTGCTGTAAATCAAACAGAGGGCCTGGAGGACAGCAGAGACTGTTCTGTCTGACAGCCTGAAACAACCTCTTCAAAAGACACTAATGCTATTGCTTCATAAGATTGCTGTTTAAAGTCAAGTTAATGACAGATTAGTCCATGTAAGAAACCGAGGGACAGGTCCTCACCTCCTGAACTGTTGTCGTGAGACCTCGTCTCCACAGAAGAGACAGACTGTGGCCAGGAGGGCATTAGCTGACTGACACAGAGTCTGCTCTCTATGGGTCACCTTCATCAGAACCGTGATCACCTAGACAAGAAGAAAGGAGCCACAGGTTAACTAGCAGGTATGTGTCACTCCAGTACAGCCTAGGGAAGGTTACCAGTCCACAAACACCTGGTTCAACTGGCATTCAAATAGAAAACGTAATGTTGTCATCAAACAGAAAGATGCCAAGGGAAGTATCCAAGGTAATACAAAATATTTAACTAAACATTCCAGAGAATGTGAATGTTAGAAACAGCTCTACAGCTCTCAGGTCAGGTCTCTGGCAGGTAGTCCAGTTCAAACCAACTTGACAAGGTGTCATTCAGTCAGGTCTCTGGCAGGTAGTCCAGTTCAAACCAACTTGACAAGGTGTCATTCAGTCAGGTCTCTGTCAGGTAGTCCAGTTCAAACCAACTTGACAAGGTGTCATTCAGTCAGGTCTCTGTCAGGTAGTCCAGTTCAAACCAACTTGACAAGGTGTCATTCAGTCAGGTCTCTGGCAGGTAGTCCAGTTCAAACCAACTTGACAAGGTGTCATTCAGTCAGGTCTCTGGCAGGTAGTCCAGTTCAAACCAACTTGACAAGGTGTCATTCAGTCAGGTCTCTGACAGGTAGTCCAGTTCAAACCAACTTGACAAGGTGTCATTCAGTCAGGTCTCTGACAGGTAGTCCAGTTCAAACCAACTTGACAAGGTGTCATTCAGTCAGGTCTCTGGCAGGTAGTCCAGTTCAAACCAACTTGACAAGGTGTCATTCAGTCAGGTCTCTGTCAGGTAGTCCAGTTCAAACCAACTTGACAAGGTGTCATTCAGTCAGGTCTCTGGCAGGTAGTCCAGATCAAACCAACTTGACAAGGTGTCATTCAGTCAGGTCTGACAGGTAGTCCAGTTCAAACCAACTTGACAAGGTATCATTCAGTCAGGTCTCTGACAGGTAGTCCAGTTCAAACCAACTTGACAAGGTGTCATTCAGTCAGGTCTCTGACAGGTAGTCCAGTTCAAACCAACTTGACAAGGTGTCATTCAGTCAGGTCTCTTTGACAGTTAGTCCAGATAAAACCAACTTGACAAGGTGTCAACCAGAACCTCCTTTCTGACCACATGCAGAAATGTTGAAACAAGTCATGTGTCCTACCTCCTGTGTCCTCTCCTTCAGTACTAACTGAGATGGAGAGAGGCTGATGACAGATGAGTCCATGACAGAGCGTGTCTGAAGGTCAGAGTAGGGAACAGCCTTAATGAAGGCAGCCCTGGAACCAGTGTTCCTCACACACACACACAGCTTGGACACCTGGCCTGCTGCAACACCCATTAGCATAGCCACGTAGCCATCTGAACGCTTCCTGGTGTCTTCCAGAATAATGCTACTGGTCCCTCCATAGCCTGATAGTGGGATCTGGGGGGAAGAGAGAGAGGAGACAATGAGCATTGTCTTACTTCCTGATTGTGTATTTGGATGTGAGGCATATAGCTGGATCTACATAACCCATTCATTATCACACTCATTTTGAGGTCTGAAAACATCTGACAACTTTGACTTTAAAGTGTAATGTCCCTTTAAGATCAGAAACCACCATTGAAAACCAGTCTGGTCGCTTCAGTGAATAACTAGGTCCTGGGGACCCAAATATGTGCACATTTCTGTTGTTGCACTACACACTTGACTTAAATAACCAACTCCTCATCAAGCCTTTGATTAGCGGAATCAGGATTGGAGTGCTAGGGCAACGACTAAGGACCAGGATGAAGAAGCTTCGGTCTACAGGATGTTAGGGTAGAGAGAGCCTCACAGTGAACTTGATGCCAGGCTGTGAGGGCCGTACTCCAGACTGTTTGATCTCCAGCTTGGCCAGGGTGCAGGCCACCCGGGTGGGGGCAAACAGCAGGTGGACCACAACATCCTCCCTGGGCCGGATGGACAGCTCTCTGTGCCGGGTCAACCTTTCCTCTAGTCCAAAGCTACTCTGGAGCTGGGATGGATATATTACATTAACAGATAGAAAGGGGAGAGACAGGAGAGAGAGAGAGAGGGACGGAGAGAGAGAGAATCGCTAAAACGATACAGAAATACACTACGGAAAAAGAAGGAACAGCACATCAGAAATCAGCTCAATATAATTGAAGAATCCATAGACTAACCACTTTTGGGAAAATTGGAAAACACTAAACAAACACAAAGAGTTATCTATCCAAAACTGAGATGTATGGACAAACCACTTATCCAATCTTTTTGGCTCTATAACAAAGAACAAAACAGCAAAAACATATACATGATCAATTACAAACTTATTGAAGACTACCAGAACCCACTGGATTCTCCAATTACATTGAATGAACTACAGGACAAAATACAATCCCTCCAACCCAAAAAGGCCTGTGGTGTTGATGGTATCCTACATGAAATTATAAAATATACAGACCACAAATTTCAATTGGCTATACTTAAAAGATTTTAACATCATCCTTAGCTCTGGCATCTTCCCCAATATTTGAAACCAAGGACTGATTACCCCAATCCACAAAAGTGGAGACAAATTTGACCGCAATAACTACCGTGGGATATGCATCAACAGCAACCTTGGGAAAATCCTCTGCATTACCATTAACAGCAGAGTTGTACATTTCCTCAGTGAAAACAGTGAACTGAGCAAATGTCAAATTGGCTTTTTACCAAATTACCGTTGGACAGACCCCGTATTCACCCTGCACACCCTAATTGCCAAACAAACAAACCAAAATTAAGACAGTGTCTTTGCATGCTTTGTTGATTTCTAAAAAGCTTTTGACTCAATTTGGCATGAGGGTCTGCTATACAAATTGATGGAAAGTGGTGATGGGGGAAAAACATACGACATTATAAAATCCATGTACACAAACAAGTGTGTGGTTAAAATGTGCAAAAAACACACATTTCTTTCCACAGGGCCGTGGGGTGAGAGAGGAATGCAGTTTAAGCCCCACCCTCTTCAACATATATACTGTATCAATGAATTGGCGAGGGCACTAGAACAGTCTGCAGCACCCGGCCTCACCCTACTAGAATCTGAAGTCAAATGTCTACTGATGATCTGGTGCTTCTGTCCCCAACCAAGGAGGGCCTACAGCAGCACCTAGATCTTCTGCACAGATTCTGTCAGACCTGGGCCATGACAGTAAATCTCAGTAAGACAAAAATAATGGTGTTCCAAAAAAGGTCGAGTTGCCAGGACCACTAATACAAATTCCATCTAGACACCGTTGCCCTAGAGCACACAAAAAACTATACATACAGTGGGGAGAACAAGTATTTGATACACTGCCGATTTTGCAGGTTTTCCTACTTACAAAGCATGTAGAGGTCTGTAATTCTTTATCATAGGTACACTTCAACTGTGAGAGACGGAATCTAAAACCAAAATCCAGAAAAATCACATTGTATGATTTTTAAGTAATTCATTTGCATTTTATTGCATGACATCAACAAAGCAGATCTTAATATTTGGTACAGAAACCTTTGTTTGCAATTACAAAGATCATACGTTTCCTGTAGGTCTTGACCAGGTTTGCACACACTGCAGCAGGGATTTTGGCCCACTCCTCCATACAGACCTTCTCCAGATCCTTCAGGTTTCGGGGCTGTCGCTGGGCAATACGGACTTTCAGCTCCCTCCAAAGATTTTCTATTGGGTTCAGGTCTGGAGACTGGCTAGGCCACTCCAGGACCTTGAGATGCTTCTTATGGAGCCACTCCTTAGTTGCCCTGGCTGTGTGTTTCAAGTCGTTGTCATGCTGGAAGACCCAGCCACGACCCATCTTCAATGCTCTTACTGAGGGAAGGAGGTTGTTGGCCAAGATCTCGCAATACATGGCCCCATCCATCCTCCCCTCAATACGGTGCAGTCATCCTGTCCCCTTTGCAGAAAAGAATCCCCAAAGAATGATGTTTCCACCTCCATGCTTCACGGTTGGGATGGTTTTCTTGAGGTTGTACTCATCCTTCTTCCTCCAAACACGGCGAGTGGAATTTAGACGGAAAAAGCTCTATTTTTGTCTCATCAGACCACATGACCTTCTCCCATTCCTCCTCTGGATCATCCAGATGGTCATTGGCAAACTTCAGACGGGACATGCGCTGGCTTGAGCAGGGGGACCTTGCGTGCGCTGCAGGATTTTAATCCATGACGGCGTAGTGTGTTACTAATGGTTTTCTTTGAGACTGTGGTCCCAGCTCTCTTCAGGTCATTGACCAGGTCCTGCCGTGTAGTTCTGGGCTGATCCCTCACCTTCCTCATGATCATTGATGCCCCACGAGGTGAGATCTTGCATGGAGCCCCAGACCGAGGGTGATTGACCGTCATCTTGAACTTCTTCCATTTTCTAATAATTGCGCCTACAGTTGTTGCCTTCTCACCAAGCTGCTTGCCTATTGTCCTGTAGCCCATCCCAGCTTTGTGCAGGTCTACAATTTTATCCCTGATGTTCTTACACAGCTCTCTGGTCTTGGCCATTGTGGAGAGGTTGGATTGAGTGTGTGGACAGGTGTCTTTTATACAGGTAACGAGTTCAAACAGGTGCAGTTAATACAGGTAATGAGTGGAGAACAGGAGGGCTTCTTAAAGAAAAACGAACAGGTCTGTGAGAGCCGGAATTCTTACTGGTTGGTAGGTGATCAAATACTTATGTCATGCAATAAAATGCAAACAAATTACTTAAAAATCATACAATGTGATTTTCTGGATTTTTGTTTTAGATTCCGTCTCTCACAGTTGAAGTGTACCTATGATAAAAATTACAGACCTCTACATGCTTTGTAAGTAGGAAAACCTGCAAAATCGGCAGTGTATCAAATACTTGTTCTCTCCACTGTACCTCGGCCTAAACATCCGCACCACAGGTAACTTCCACAAAGCTGTGAACGATCTGAGAGACAAGGCAAGAAGGGCCTTCTATGCCATCAAAAGGATCATAAAATTCAACATACCAATTAGGATCTGGCAAAAAATACTTGAATCAGTTATAGAACCCATTGCCCTTTATGGTTGTGAGGTCTGGGGTCCGCTCACCAACCAAGAATTCACAAAATGGGACAAACACCAAATTGAGACTCTGCATGCAGAATTCTGCAAAAATATCCTCTGTGTACAACGTAAAACACCAAATAATGCATGCAGAGCAGAATTAGGCCGATACCTGCTAATTATCAAAATCCAGAAAAGAGCTGTTAAATTCTACAACCACCTAAAAGGAAGCGATTCCCAAACCTTCCATAACAAAGCCATCACCTACAAAGAGACGAACCTGGAGAAGAGTCCCCTAAGCAAGTTGGTCCTGGGGCTCTGTTCACAAACACAAACAGACCCCCAGGACAGCAACACAATTAGACCCAACCAAATCATGAGAAAACTAAAATATAATTACTTGACACAAAGGAAATAATTAACAAAAAAACAGAGCAAACTAGAATGCTATTTGGCCCTAAACAGAGAGTACACAGTGGCAGAATACCTGACCACTGTGACTGACCTACACTTAAGGAAAGCTTTTTCTATGTACAGACTCAGTGAGCATAGCCTTGCTATTGAGAAAGGCCGCCGTAGGCAGACCTGGCTCTCGAGAAGACAGGCTATGTGCACACTCGCCACAAAATGAGGTGGAAACTGAGCTGCACTTCCTAACCTCCTGCCAAATGTATGACCATATTAGAGACACATATTTCCCTCAGATTACACAGACCCACAAAGAATTAGAAAACAAATCCAATTTTGATAAACTCCCATTTCTATTGGGTGAAATACCAGTGTGCAATCACAGCAGAAAGATTTGTGACATCCTCCGTGTTCAACGTAAAACACTAAATAATGCATGCAGAGCAGAATTAGGCCAATACCCGCTAATTATCAAAATCCAGAAAAGAGCCGTTAAATTCTATAAACACTTAAAAGGAAGCGATTCCCAGACCTTCCATAACAAAGCCATCACCTACAGAGAGATGAACTTGGAGAAGAGTCCCCTAAGTAAGCTGGTCCTGGGGCTCTGTTCACAAACACAAACAGACCCCACAGAGCCCCAGGACAACAACAACAACAACAACAACAACAACACAATTAGACCCAACCAAATCATGAGAAAACAACCTCCTGCCAAATGTATGACCATAGAGACACATATTCCCCTCAGATTACAGCGATCCACAAAGAATTAGAAAACAAACCCAATTTTGATAAACTCCCTTATCTACTGGGTGAAAAACCACAGTGTGCCATCACAGCTGCAAGATTTGTGACCTGTTGCCACAAGAAAAGGGCAACCAGTGAAGAACAAACACCATTGTAAATACAACCCATATTAATGTTTATTTATTTCCCCATTTGCACTTTAACTATTTGCACATAATTACAACACTGTATATCTACATAATATGACATTTGAAATGTCTTTATTCTTTTGGAACTTCTGAGTGTAATGTTTACTGTTAATATTTATTGTTTATTTCACTTTTGTTTATTATCTGTTTCACTTGCTTTGGCAATGTTAACATACGTTTCCCATGCCAATAAAGCCCTTAAATTGAACTGAATTGAATTGAGAGAGAGAGGGACAGAGACGGAGAGGGAGAGAGGTGGAAAGAGACAGAGAAAGGAGATCACAGTGAGACAAGGGGAGCCAGGAGTTAATGAGACCTGACTGTAGTAATAAATCACTGATGAATAACAGTCCTTGTCCTGAGACATGACTGTACAATCTTATGGCTTCAAACACCACAGGAGTCTACAACCAAGTCTCAAGGCAAGCAGACTGATACAGAGCTGTTCCGATTGATATCTAAAAGGTTGTTGAAGTGGATATGTAGCTGGACAAGTTTAGTTGCTTGGTTCTTACCTGGAAACAGTTGTGATCTTGTCCTCGGATCAGCAGGCGCAGTTGGTGTGTTGTGTTGGGGGAATTATTACGAAGAACCAGCTTCTGTTGTCTGTAGAGGTAGAAGCACACCTTCAGAACACAATACCTCCACAGCCTGGCTACAACAATCAACCTCGTCATTGGCTTTCTATCCATGTTCATAAGACATGATACAACTATGTACGGATTGATCATTATGACTAACACGGAGGAGTCTAGTAATTGTTCCTTACACAGCCCTGCCCAGGGTGACCCCTCCCCAGGCCATGAACTGCTTGTTGGAGAGGATGGGGGGAACCTCGCTGGGGGGCAGCATGCCCAGGGCAGAGGCAGGACCAGGGGCAGCTGGTTTACCCCTCTCCTCTGGTACCACCTGTCCCTTCAGCACCACCTCATACTGAGGACCAGAGGGCAGCACCAGGATGGTCAGAACACTGGAGGGACAAGCAGGAAGAAACCTCAGAACAGGAAGTACCATGAAAACACAAGGACACATAACAACAGCCCAGGGAAAAGACTGAGGCTGCCGGTAAAATTATCCTAGAGCAACAGATATATTACACTCTGAAGTACAACACAGAGTAATGTAGAAGGTGTTCTAGAAGGCTAGATGTTCAGATCTCTGAAGATGTACCTCTCTCTGTTCTTCCTGTCGCCCTGAGACGTGAACGTGACCACAATGCCTTGCTCCTCCCCGGCACGCAGACACAGCTCATCAGGACTCACACAGAAACAGTCATCACCACCGCTGTTCTGAAGACAAACACCACCCAGGAGGTAATGTCAATATCAACAACACACACACACACTGTTCTATCCTTGTGAGGACCTTGAGGGCAAAACATACTTACTGAGGACCAGCCTTTCTCATTGCCATAGGAACTAACCAATATCACATCCCACCACCAGATGGCATCCAAAACACAATGCCAAAATATCAAAGCACAGATCAACCAGGGAAGAAAAAGGGACAGAATACTTTGAGTTTCAGCTGGACATCGATGTTGCCTGCGTTCTTCAGAGGCAGAGTCTGTTTGCTGGACTGACCAAACGGTGCCGAGAGGTTAACAGTCTGCAAAAAACGTACATCAGAAAATAGCAGAAATATCAACATATTTATCACGAAGGTCAACCCCAACTCTAATATGGGATGTCTTAGAAAGGCAATAAAACACAAAGGTTTCCCAGTTAAATCCTGAATATAAAGACTAGTCTCATGTAAGCAGTGCGACACGTCAGTTCCTACCTGTAGGTCTTTGGGGGCGTGTACTCTGGCTATTCCAGACCTGGCTCTGAGGGGGACGCTCCTGATCACATGACTGGGCCCTGGACAGTCCACCTCGATGTCCACCCGCGCACTGTACTCATCAGCTGGACCTAGATCACCTGTATGACATCACACATCACTGTACTCTTCAGCTGGACCTAGATCACCTGTATGACATCACACATCACTGTACCTAGATCACCTGTATGACATCACACATCACTGCACTCTTCAGCTGGACCTAGATCACCTGTATGACATCACACATCACTGCACTCTTCAGCTGGACCTAGATCACCTGTATGACATTACACATCACTGTACTCTTCAGCTGGACCTAGATCACCTGTTATGACATCACACATCACTGTACTCTTCAGCTGGACCTAGATCACCTGTATGACATCACTGTACTCTTCAGCTGGACCTAGATCACCTGTATGACATCACACATCACTGTACTCTTCAGCTGGACCTAGATCACCTGTTATGACATCACACATCACTGTACTCTTCAGCTGGACCTAGATCACCTGTATGACATCACACATCACTGTACTCTTCAGCTGGACCTAGATCACCTGTATGACATCACACATCACTGTACCTAGATCACCTGTATGACATCACACATCACTGTCCTCATCAACTGGACCTAGATCACCTGTATAACATCACACATCACTGCACTCTTCAGCTGGACCTAGATCACCTGTATGACATCACACATCACTGTACTCTTCAGCTGGACCTAGATCACCTGTTATGACATCACACATCACTGTACCCTTCAGCTGGACCTAGATCACCTGTATGACATTACACATCACATGACACAAACATCAGCTATGACTGGTGGCTGAATGGCATCTTTGTGTATTAATATTCATCAAGCGAGGACAGGGGCCATACCTGAACAGGGCTGGTATTTCTGCGGCGCGTGGAAGTGAACCCAAACCATGAAGCTCTCTGGATTCTGAAATGCAACAGGAAATCATATTTCATTCCAAAACATCCCTCAAACTACTAAACTATTTAAGTCACTAAGACTAGGTCCCCTCCAGGTTTACTCACATCTCCGTAGCTGGCGTGCATCACATGGTTAATGACGGACGGAGCGGCCAGTGAGGTCACAGTCCCCGCCTGCAGCACGCCCTCAGCTGTCATGGCAACGGGACTCTTGGAGAAAGTGAAGCAGCGCCAAGCCGTGGCATTCTAGAAATATGACATCACAAAGACAATATTACCAATCAAAGTGTGCTTGTATAGCCAACTATTTTAACAAAATACATTTGTCACAAAGGACTCAAAACTTGAATTACTCATGCAGACATCAAGTTAGGATTCAGGTGTGCTTTTGAGTAACAGTAACATGACACCGGCAGGTAGCTTAGTGGTTAAGAGCGTTGTGCCAGTAACCGAAAGGTCGCTGGTTCTAATCCCCGAGCCGACTAGGTGAAAAATCTGCCGATGTGCCCTTAAGCAAGGCATTTAACCCTAATTGCTCCTGTAAGTCGCTCTGGATAAGAGTGTCTGTTAAATGACTAAAATGTAAATGTAATTTTAGGGCCGAGGCCATTTGGCCTCCAAGAGGTGCCCAATCTGCCAGGGCACAAAGGACATTACCCTCAATAGCCAATTAAATTGATTTGAAAAACGAAAAACACTAGCGCTTCTGTTAAAACATAGGCGTATGTAAATTAATTATCTTACATGTCAAAGTGTAGTTGATAGCCTATGCATATTGAGCCAACAGTCTGTCAAGTCCTGACCGATGCTGACAGGAGGGAGGTGCCAGAAAATATAGCAGGCTAAATGCCAGTAATGTTTGACAAATATAATGTAGGATCATTATTAATATCTAAAGGCTTGATTCTGTTGACATACTGTTCGTTCTGACAGGAGAGAAAGGCCAGTGCCTGTTCCGCACTGCAACATCACCCACCTTACAATCTGAGCAGAGGTAGTCAACATTTTGAAACTATTTAACCATAAACGAAATTGTTTAAAACCTGGAGGTTTTTTGTCATTTTATGAGGCATGTCTTACCATGTTCTGACCATAGGAATGTGAAGGGGATTATTTTATTAACTCTTCCTCACATGCCATTGAAACCAGTCTTTCTCTCATGTTCTCAACTTTCTTTCGTTGTCCAGCAGCCAAACGCAATCCTAGTCATATTAACAACCATGCTAGTTGCTTTAGATCTTTCTACATTTCTGAAGGATATATTCATTTCTGTCATATGAAACCGCTCGCATTTCCGGTGCACTTTTGAGAACTGTGTTTTCCCACGAACTGCATTTTGGAACACTTGTGCTTATAGCCTACTACAATGTGCGCATTGCTGTGCTTATAATGTGAAGAAATAGCCTAATAGTTGGTCAACATTTTAAGCTAAACGTTCTGATCTGTTGCATCACCCTCATTGCTTTAAAAACATATTTTTTAATGTAGCCTACAGTGGTTGAATTAATTTGTGATATGTCACTCCCACAACTGTCCCAGAGCCTGTTTGGAATATTTATTTATTGCAGAGAAGGACAAGCTGACCAATAGAATAGGTGAACTTTTGTCCTATGGGGGATGGTAGGTTCACAGGCTAGTGCTTTTGCTGTTCGTTAGGCCTACTCATCTTGTTGGCTGACGCAAAGTTAATATGGACAATTATTTTAACATCTTAAATATGCGCCTCGGAATTCGATAAGAATGACGCGCGCCGTTTGCATGCTCTACCAACTGCCGGCCATTCCCTCCCCTACCCTGGACGACGCTGGGCCAATTGTGCGCCGCCCCATGGGTCTCCCGGTCACGGCCGGCTACGACAGAGCCTGGACACAGCTAGCACTGCGATGCAGTGCCTTAGACCACTGCGCCACTCGGGAGGACAGTTCGTGTCCGTTGTCTCAATGGACGCACTGCACTGTATTGTAATGTATTGTATTGCATTGTCTTACAGCACTGATAACCAGTCTAATAGGTACGGTAGCCTGAGTCCTGTTCAGCAGCTTCAGAGGGAGAGCTTTGGCACTGCCACCTGCCAGGTCTCCAAAGTCCAGACTGCCACACTTCCCTACATCCACCTGGAGAGGAGAAACCATTCAGAACATAAATGTGTTATCTATTACAGTGGAGAAACCATTCAGAACATAGTGTTATCTATTACAAGTGGAGAAACATCAACATCATTGATATCAACCAACTAGAACACAGAGACCTTGAGGTTGTACTCCACTGTTGTTTCAAATACTGAAATATAAGAGGGAAAAGCTGTAAAACAAACTAAACAGGAAGCATGCCCACGTAGTAGGTGTCCTTCCTGTCCCGACATGGACTCAAAGCTAACTAGCTAACGATCGACATCGGTTACACCCACTGGGGATTAAAGCTAACAAGCCAACAATCCATCAGCCACACCGCCTTACCTCCAGAGCAGGGTCCTCTGCCATGGCGACGAGGACCACCCTCTTGGCGAACACCTCTGCGCGGGCGACAGCCTCAGCCTCAGCGGAGGCAGGCCAGGAGGACACACTGAGGACAGCCTGGTACAGCCCGGCCTGGGGTGGGATGAACAACACCTTCTGCTCCTCCGTGCTCTTAGGGCCGATGATAGTCTTGTTCTTCACTATCAGCCACTGGTACGGGAATGAATCAACCTGGTTGGGACAGGAAATGGGCATTATGGTCCAACACGAGTTAGTAGTTATTCGGAGTGGCTACATTTCCAGGACTATTTATTGGCTCTCAATCTGCTTACAATATTTTTTTGCCTTTACATGCTTTGAGCACCCAAATGTTTGTTCACACTATTTCAGACCATAAATCATTCCTCTTGACAATTTCATTAGAAACAAAGTGACTCACCTTCTCTCCGTCGATGGCCAGGCTGGTGACGGTGATGGAGACCTGCTGCCAGCGCTCGGAGGGGTTGAAGATGCCCAGGGAGGTCTGAGAGGAGATGCCCACACAGCAGGCATGGGGGAACCTCAGCTCCTCAGGCATCACTACCTGGGCTGGAGGATTGGAGAGGGAGAGGGGTCCAGTGTTACCTTAAAGCTTACAAAATTACAGAGGGAAAAAAGTATTTGATCCCCTGCTGATTTTGTACGTTTGCCCACTGACAAAGAAATGATCAGTCTATAATTTTAATGGTAGGTTTATTTGAACAATGAGAGACAGAATAACAACAAAAAAATCCAGAAAAACACATGTGAGAAAATGTTATAAATTGATTTGCATTTTAAAATGAGGGAAATAAGTATTTGACCCCTCTGCAAAACATGACTTAGTACTTGGTGGCAAAACCCTTGTTGGCAATCCAGAGGTCAGACGTTTCTTGTAGTTGGCCACCAGGTTTGCACACATCTCAGGAGGGATTTTGTCCCACTCCTCTTTGCAGAACTTCTCCAAGTCATTAAGGTTTTGAGGCTGACGTTTGGCAACTCGAACCTTCAGCTCCCTCCACAGATTTTCTATGGGATTAAGGTCTGGAGACTGGCTAGGCCACTCCAGGACCTTAATGTGCTTCTTCTTGAGCCACTCCTTTGTTGCCTTGGCCGTGTGTTTTGGGTCATTGTCATGCTGGAATACCCATCCACGACCCATTTTCAATGCCCTGGCTGAGGGAAGGAGGTTCTCACCCAAGATTTGACGGTACATGGCCCGTCCATCGTCCCTTTGATGCGGTGAAGTTGTCCTGTCCCCTTAGCAGAAAAAAACCCCTAAAGCATAATGTTTCCACCTCCATGTTTGACGGTGGGGATGGTGTTCTTGGGGTCATAGGCAGCATTCCTCCTCCTCCAAACACGGCGAGTTGAGTTGATGCCAAAGAGCTCGATTTTGGTCTCATCTGACCACAACTCTTTCACCCAGTTCTCCTCTGAATCATTCAGATGTTCACTGGCAAACTTCAGACGGGCCTGTATATGTGCTTTCTTGAGCAGGGGGACCTTGCGGGCACTGCAGGATTTCAGTCCTTCACGGCGTAGTGTGTTACCAATTGTTTTCTTGGTGACTATGGTCCCAGCTGCCTTGAGATAATTGACAAGATCCTCCCGTGTAGTTCTGGGCTGATTCCTCACTGTTCTCATGATCATTGCAACTCCACGAGGTGAGATCTTGCATGGAGCCCCAGGCCGAGGGAGATTGACAGTTCTTTTGTGTTTCTTCCATTTGCGAATAATCGCACCAACTGTTGTCACCTTCTCACCAAGCTGCTTGGCGATGGTCTTGTAGCCCATTCCAGCCTTGTGTAGGTCTACAATCTTGACCCTGACATCCTTGGAGAGCTCTTTGGTCTTGGCCATGGTGGAGATTTTGGAATCTGATTGATTGATTGCTTCTGTGGACAGGTGTCTTTTATACAGGTACCAAGCTGAGATTAGGAGCACTCCCTTTAAGAGTGTGCTCCTAATCTCAGCTCGTTACCTGTATAAAAGACACCAGGGACCCAGAAATCTTTCTGATTGAGAGGGGGTCAAATACTTATTTCCCTCATTAAAATGCAAATCAATTTATAACATTTTTGACATGCGTTTTCTGGATTTTGTTGTTGTTATTCTGTCTCTCACTGTTCAAATAAACCTACCATAAAAATTATAGACTGATCATTTCTTTGTCAGTGGGCAAACGTACAAAATCAGCAGGGGATCAAATACTTTTTTCCCCTCACTGTACATGTATTTAACACTCAAGAAAGATTGAGATTAACTGCTTCAAACTCTGCCAACTGCAGCACACGCTCTTATCTTGAGTGATTCAAGAAAGATAACGAAGAATTGACTGAAGAACTGATTGAAAACTGACCTGTGAGTTCAGGAAGGCTGCCGTTAGACCATGAGGCTACACAGTGCTGGTTGTAGGGGTTCCCTCCCAAGGGTTTGTGGTGGGGGTTGGAGCAGTGGAGCTGGCCTGGGTACAAACCCCCAGAGCTATGGAGGTGTCTGACCGAGGGGTCAACATTGGGTCCTAACCCTGAGGACACAGCGTGACCATACGGGCCGTTCCCTGCTGCTGTCATGTGGCGGTAGGGACCAGGATGTAGAGCTCCATCTGAGCCCAGGTTCTGCTGCGCTAGCTGGGAGCTGAAGAGGGAGCGCCCCGTCATGAGGGTGGGGACCCCTGGAGGCAGGTCCACCCTGGAGCCCTGGGGCTTGAAGCTGGAGATGGGCATGTAGCACAGGTCCTCCGAGGAAGGCAGGCCGAAGCCCGTCCCGGCCCCAGGATAGACCTCACTCCCCTGGGCTAAGACACCGGACCACTGCTGGTTCCCCTGGCCCCCCAAACCCATCCCGCTTGGCTGCTGGATGTTCAGGTTGCTGGAGTAGCCAGAGTCCACCTTGGTGAGGTGGTGGGAGCTGGGTTCGGAGTAGCGTTTCTGCTGGTTGTAGTCCCTGTTGTTCCCACAGCGGAAGTTACACTCACTCTGGCTGCATGTACAGCCCAGACCGGAACCACTCCGCAGGTCTACCGAGCTACGAGGACTGGTAGAGTGTTGAGGAGAGACTGGGCTCTTGGACTGGTGACAGTGAGGAGAGGATAGGCCTCTAGGAGGACAGAGGACGTCTGTCGAGCGGTGAGGAGGTATGTCCTGACCTATATGACTTTGGGTATCGGCCCGTTCTACTGGCGGGGTGGGACTGGCCCTGATGATCGTGGTGCTCAGCGCCATGGTGCCATTACTCTGGGGAAGGGAGAGAGATTAATATCACGCAGAGATTAATAGCATGTAGTCAATTCGTTATTAGTGGAGTATTCATTCATGTAGTAACTCCAGACAGTAGCAGTACGTGACATAGCTAGCTGGGTTTTTCAGGCAGATGACTGTCATTCAACTTAAAATTGTGCATCAACAATCAAGACAAGAACCCAAAACTCAAGGTTACTTTACCTCGGTTCTCTGATAATGAGAGATACAGTGCCTTCAGAAAGTATTCACACCCCTTGACCTTTTCCACAAAATACTCTAAGTGGAAGAAAAATTCTAACATTTGTAAAACATTTATGAAAAATAAAACACTAATACATCAGCTTAGATAAGTATTCAACCCCTGAGTCAACACGTTGGCAGCGATTACAGCTGTGAGTCTTTCTGGGTTAATCGAAGAGCATTCCACACCTGAATTGTGCAACAATTGCCCATTATTCTTTTTTAAAATTCTTCAAGCTCTGTCATATTGGTTGTTGATCATTGCTAGACAACCATTTTCAGGTCTTGCCATAGATTTTCAAGCAGATTTAAGTCAAACTGTAAGTCGGCCACTCAGGAACATTCACTGTCTTCTTGGTAAGCAACTCCAGTGTAGATTTGGCCTTGTGTTTTTGGTTATTGTCCTGCTGAAAGGTGAATTAATCTCCCAGTGTCTGGTGGAAAACAGACAAACTGGTTTTCCTCCAGGATTTGCCTGTGCTTAGCTCCATTTCTTACATTTTTTTAATCCTAAAAAACTCCCCAGTCCTTAACGATTACAAGCATACCCATAACATGATGCAGCCACCAATATGCTTTAAAATATGGAGAGTGGTACTCAGTGATGTGTTGTATTGGATTTGCCCCAACATAACACTTTGTATACAGGACAAAAAGTTAATTACTTTGCAGTATTACTTAAGTGCCTTGTTGCAAACAGGATGCATGTTTTCTGTACAGTACTTCCTCTTCTCACGGTCAATTAGGTTAGTATTGTGGTGTAACTACAATTTTGATCCATCCTCAGTTTTCTCCTATCACAGCCATTACCCTCTAACTGTTTTAAAGTCAACATGCTCAAAGGGATATTCAATATCTGCTTTTTTTTTTTTTTTAACCCATCTACCAACAGGTGCCCTTCTTTGCGAGGCATTGAAAAATCTCCCTTGTTTTTGTCTGAAACTGTTTGAAATGCACTGCTCGACTGAGGGACCTTACAGATAATTGTATGTGTAGGGTACAGAGATGAGGTAGTCATTAAAAATACATTTTAAACACTATTATTGCACACAGAGTGAGACACAGACATCGAAACGAGTATTTGAAAGAGAACACCATACGAGGTTCAGTCCCTGTCTACCATACCTTGTGTCTGTCAGGAGTTGGGATGCTGGTGCTGTTGAGAGCTGTGCTGTCGTTCAGAGAGACGTATGTCAGTCTGCTGAGGCTTGGACTGGAACAGCTCCACTCAGACTGGGACAGAGACTGGGAGTGGGGGGGAGTGAGATCACTGGGGGGTCTCCTGGAGGAGGGGGGCGACACAGCCCTGTAGAGGCACCAGAGACCAGAGAGAAACAGAAGATTTAGGATGAACTGCAACTAGAGTTACACATTAGAGGGCACAACCTGACACATCTGATTGATTTAATAATTGATTGACTTGACGCAGTAGTGTACCCTTCTTGGCTGGGGAAGGAGGTCTGTGAGGGGGAGGAGTGGGTGAGAGGAGAGGTGGAGGGTCTGAAGGTAAGCTGGCTCTGCTCTGGTCCTCCGGCATGCTGCACAGGAGTGCCTGGAGACACATCTGCAGAGAACAACACATTACTATCCATCACCTGCATACACCACAAGACCAGGACATTAATACACTCCTTAACCAATGTACTAAATCATCCGTTGTCATTATCTGCAGAATACAAGACCAGGAAATCACCTCACATAAACTATAATCAACATTAAAAAACAGAATGTCTCAATCCGGCTCAAAGGACCATGGAAAATGGGATAGAAACTAAGCTAAGCTTAACAAAACATTTATTTATCGCTTAAATTAGTTGAAGAATAGATGAATAATGATGATTGGACCAGAGACTGACCGTATGTCCTGTGTGCAGAAGGAGGCTGGGGGCTGTGACCGGCTGAAGTAAAACCAACATGTTTCGCCACAGCGCTGTGAGGAGCTGCTCCAAGACCCTTCTCCAGGCCGCTGGGTTTCTCCTGCTGGGCTGTACTGCTCCCTGTACCGTGTGTGGTGCCTCTGAGGGAGGGCGGCCCTGAGCTCCCCTTCCTCAGGCCAGGGGAGGTCTTGGGGCCTGGGGCAGGAGCTGGGGAGCGGTCCTCTACCTTCTGGGCTGGGGTGTTGTTGGGTGTTGGACAGACTGCTCCCAGATCAGCCCCACCACTCTCCGTGCTGCTCCTGCTCAGTACACCAGCTGGCTGGGGGTCACTTTTCCTCCCTGCAGCCTTCCTGTGAGCAGCTGGTTTGGCTGTAGAGGAGGTGGTTGAGGAGAACTGACCAGAGCCCACGGACCTCCTCCCTGGGTTACCAGAGGCTGTAGAGATTGAGCTGGCCCTGGGACGGGGGATGGAACTCCTCCTCAGCTCTGTCTTGTTAGCTGGAGCTGGGCCTGCTCCACTCTGGCCAGAACCTGGATGTATCCCAGCATAGACTGGACGGGCCTCAGCAGTAGCAGCAAGGCCAGAGGAAGAGGAGATATCGCCCTTGGTGCTAGCCTGGTGTTGATAACCCGAGCTCCCGTTCTCCACGGTGACAAGAAGTGATGCGGCCTGGGACTTCCTGTGGGAGGAGTTGAGGCTGTCGGCCCAGCTGAGGAGGTCAAAGGTGCAGTGGGAGGAGCCTGACTGGTCGCTGTCGCTGCTGGTGGATACCTCTGTCTGCTTCAGGTACTTTTCAACGTCGAAGGCACTTAGGTCCCCGGCACACTGGCTCCTCTGTAGTGTCTCCAGCAGGGTGCTCTGGTCCAGTTGAACCTGGTTAGGGCTGAGTGTTTGTTCTTCCAGGGCAGAGGCTGGGAATCACAATCAAATCACCTTTAGATTTCCATGTACCAGGAATTTGACCTGTGGTGCTGACATCACCTTCCAATAAACACAATCCACAGACAGAATTAAAGACAGTGAACATGGGTTACCTGGGGCTGGACCGGGCAGACCTTTCTGGTGTTGCCTCTTTACCCTACTCCTCTTGGACAGCGCCATGATCATGGCAGCCAGCTGGGAGGGGTCTGAGGAGATGGAGGCGTCTGCCATGGCCGAGGCAATGGTGCTGATAGACAACATGAGGTTAGACTGGTCTGTGCTGCTGCTGTTGTTATGGCTGCAGCCGGGGGAGGCTGAGGGAAGGGCCTCAGGGAGGGGGGAGGCTGAGGGAAGGGCCTCAGGGAGGGGGGAGGCTGAGGGAAGGGCCTCAGGGAGGGGGGAGGCTGATTCACAAGGTTCTGGCTCTTCATCTCCTTTAGGTGACACCCTGTCTGGAGCTGCCTCCAAAGTCTTGTCCAAGTCCTCTACAAAAACAACGCCATATGTCATCATCTGATTATGACTGATTTGTGTTTAAAATATGAGGAATAAAGATGTGATCAAGGCCGGCCTTACAGTGGGAATCAGGAATAAGTGTCTTGGACGTCCAGAGTACCTACCTGTGTTCATGGTGTGGTCGTGGTCAGTGAGTGGGAGGGTGTCGTTGTGGACTGAGCTGTCCTGAGAGAGGAAGTCTGATGGTCGAATCAGAGGAAACGGTTCCCTCTTCTCTGGAGAGGTGATGACATAACCAAACGACGGCTGGAGAGAAGATACAACAAACTGGTCAAGTCAGAAGGGTGATGGGAAAATCACAGGCTTAAACCCTCAGTAGTAGTATCAGACAGGGCTAAGTTTCCCTACTGTGCCATATGCACTGCGGGCAGGTTTCGGACCGGGATGAAGCCTCGGATTCGTGAACTAGAAGGACACAAACCCTAAGAGACTACGGGAATAGAAACTTTTGATGAATCCCTGGCGGTAGAGCAGTGGGGGTAGAGCAGTGGTCAGTCAGTGGGGGTAGAGCAGTGGGGGTAGAGCAGTGAGGGTAGAGCAGTGGTCAGTCAGTGGGGGTAGAGCAGTGGTCAGTCAGTGGGGGTAGAGCAGTGGGGGTAGAGCAGTGGTCAGTCAGTGGGGGTAGAGCAGTGGTCAGTCAGTGGGGGTAGAGCAGTGGTCAGTCAGTGGGGGTAGAGCAGTGGGGGTAGAGCAGTGGGGGTAGAGCGGTGGTCAGTCAGTGGGGGTAGAGCAGTGGGGGTAGAGCAGTGGGGGTAGAGCAGTGGTCAGTCAGTGGGGGTAGAGCAGTGGGGGTAGAGCGGTGGTCAGTCAGTGGCGGTAGAGCGGTGGCCTGGCCGTGGAAGTCAATAGAAGGACATAGAAGTCCCGTACCCGTTTGACTGCATCGTCCTCCCTGTCGTCCCCAAGACAGCCCAGGGCCTCGGAGCGCTGCTGGAAGAAGGTCCCCAGAGACAGACGGAGGTAGCTCTGATTCCCTCTATCCAACTCCTGGGACACCTGGCTGGCCCTCATTAGGATGTGGCTGCTGGCTGGGAGTCTCCAGGAGGAGTCAGCTAGGAGACCTGGACTGGTGGAGGCAGGCGCCATCACCTCCTCCTGCATGAACTGGTTCTCCTTCTCAAACTCCTTCTGGTCTTCTATGATCTTCTCTATGGCGTTACCTGGAGGACAATAAATAGGACAACTCCAGCACACTGGTGATCTTCATTCTTCCAACATTTAATGAAGCATTAAGGCACGCGAGGCAGTGCTGTATCATGAATACAGTCCCAGGTAAATGGCGCCGTTCGGCCCGTCAAAATAGAGCCAGTCAACCCATTTACCTGGGACTATTTATGGTACTGCCTCACGTGCCTTATTGCTTTTATAAAACTGTTACCAACATATTCAAATAAAAAGTTTTATTTTGATAAGTCAATTTATACAATTTCATTCTTCCACAGGAAGATATAGTCCGGACAAAAATCTGGTTGTTAGTCATTTTGGTCATGTTACTAATAGACGCGACCAAGTCGTTAATTATTTTTGCATAATTGCTATGGAAAAGGACTGGTCATCCATTCTAAACAAAATGGTTGCTATGCAGGCTGGATAGCGTTCTTGTCACTTGCTAGCCAGCCATCTTCAGCTAACTCAAAACATTGACCCTGGAATGACAGGTCACTAGCTGCATTAGTTTGAGCATTTTTTTCTATTGGCATTTACTTGGATAAGTCCATGATTATGACGTTGATGTGTGATTTCGTCCAGCTCAGAAAAGGTTGTATCGTCTGGGCACCGTTCACTCTCTATGTACGGTACTAAAGAGATCGTCTGGGCACCGTTCACTCTCCATGTACGGTACTAAAGAGATCGTCTGGGCACCGTTCACTCTCCATGTACGGTACTAAAGAGATCGTCTGGGCACGTTCACTCTCTATGTACGGTACTAAAGAGATCGTCTGGGCACCGTTCACTCTCCATGTACGGTACTAAAGAGATCGTCTGGGCACCGTTCACTCTCCATGTACGGTACTAAAGAGATCGTCTGGGCACCGTTCACTCTCTATATACGGTACTAAAGAGATCGTCTGGGCACGTTCACTCTCTATGTACGGTACTAAAGAGATCGTCTGGGCACCGTTCACTTTCCATGTACGGTACTAAAGAGATCGTCTGGGCACCGTTCACTCTCTATGTACGGTACTAAAGAGATCGTCTGGGCACCGTTCACTCTCTATGTACGGTACTAAAGAGATCGTCTGGGCACCGTTCATTCTCTATGTTTCGTCACTAAAGAGATCGTCTGGGCACCGTTCACTCTCTATGTACGGTACTAAAGAGATCGTCTGGGCACCGTTCACTCTCTATGTACGGTACTAAAGAGATCGTCTGGGCACCGTTCACTCTCTATGTACGCTACTAAAGAGATCGAAATTCCAAAGTGAAACAATGTTTCCGAGGTCGAAGAGGCAGACAGCGAGAATCATTAACCCCCGCTGTACCAAACTAAATGCATGGCTGGAAGCAAGGGGAAATAACGTGTGAGTCGAGATGATTCGGACAGCAACATGAACATGATAATCTTATGAAGCGCAGTGATCATTTTCAGATGGAACTGTTAACAGGCATACAGTAGGCGTGTCTGACGGCCAATACAGCACGGCTTGGAACGCTGTTCGTTCAATCAGCATCCAAACCACCAGTTTTACAATGGATCTTTTGTACCAACGTTTCGGTGTTTCTCACACACACACACACACACACACACACACACACACCACCTAGTAATCATGACCGTAGTAACAACACACAAATCCCTATTTTACATGTACAGCTAAAAAAAAAAAAAAAGAACGTTTGACAATAACCTCTCTACTTACCGCCTGGAACAAAGTCCTCACCCTGGAACAGGTCTGCTACCTCCTCAGACAGCTGGTTTCCATCCACCTCCTTCTCAAAGGAGGAGTAGTAAGCCAGATCAGTCACCCACTTCCCCTCCTCATTCTGGTAGACCACACCACTGTGAGAGGCTGGAACTCACACACACAGAGGGCAATGAGATACACTGACCTGTTCTAGAAACTAGGGTACCAGTGAGGATTTACTAGGCTGGACAACTTGGTACGGCTGTTGATAAAGTCGTCGATAATAATCGGACAATTGTTTTCGTGTCATTACATTAAGATATAAAAGGGGTGGATCACAGCTACATTCAATAACATTCACGAGTTGATTTAAAACCTGTTTAACCCTTTCTCATGGTTGGTGTCTTGACAGATTGGTCCAAAATAGTATGACAAAACATTACTTTTCTGTCCATTAATTTATGGCAGTGTAAGTTGTTATATCATATATTAAGCGTTAATCAGTTAAATTAGATATTAAACATGAACCCTGTAAGGATCCTGGCTCTAGCGGTCAGAAATTTTTTGTGTAGAGATCTCAGAAATGCTGTCTAACTACGTAACATTTTGTGTCTCCTTATGTTATGGGGTGAAAACAGTTCTCATGGGCACACAAATCCCCCAAAATCAATGCGATTGCAAAATCGAATGCTTCTAACTGAAAATCACCTTACCAGTCATTATCGTGGTTCTTCAATGATTATGCATAATTTTACATTTTAGTCATTTAGCAGACGCTCTTATCCAGAGCGACTTACAGTTAGTGAGTGCATACATTTTCATACTGGACCCCCGTGGGAAACGAACCCACAACCCTGGCGTTGCAAGCGCCATGCTCTACCAACTGAGATACAGGGGACTACCATCCCATAATACTTATTGGATGCACATTTGGTGTCCAGCTGATTTAGTTACGCCATGATATTTTCACACATCTGACCCAGGAAGGAATTTTGTGAATGACAGTCAAGTGACTAACAGCTGTTGTGATAGTGCATGCAATGCAACAACAGCCCATGTGACAGAAAAAAGGTGTTCACAAGAAATGTCCAGAATATTTTGTTGTCTCATTGGTTACGCCGGTGAAGACAGTTGTGCCTGGATCCAAGTTGGATCTAATATCCCTAGCGAATTGATGTTGATCATCGGTTGTCTGCTTGAATTACAGCAGGGTCTCCTTAGATTTAACAGAGAAAGCGTCAAGGATTTGAGTTTTCATGTGTTTTTGTGCCTCAGATTGGACACTGTCTACTATCGCGCAACATCCAACACTATTATGAATAATGAAAAAATTACATAGCCTAATGGGCTTCTTCATAATATGATCTGGTAATGAAATAAGACAAATACATTTTGTTTTCCATGCTACACCAGCAATGTTAAACAATACAAGGGGCTTGAAGCAGCCTTTTTTAACTTGAATATGGAGCTCAGAAATTCAAGTACTGGAATAGGCCTACTTCGAAAAACCGACATTTCCTCAATGTCCTTGTAATTATTGTAGCCAATTTGTTCTCCTGCTGCCTTATAACGGCCAGTGAATTAATTTTTGATCCGTTTTTGTGAGATGTGGCCACTTTCGTTTGTTTCCCGCCGCTTCAATTGAAGGGTGTTGAGCTACTCTGTGGCGGTAAAACCATGTGGTTACTACGGAGGACGACAGATCTAATGAGGTTACTACGGAGGACGACAGATCTAATGAGGTTACTACGGAGAACGACAGATCTAATGAGGTTATTATGGAGGACGACAGATCTAATGTTGGCTTCAACTTGGCTTTCCATACAAATCCTTCCATTAAAAACTTTACCTGGTTTTTGGTCACTTTCTCATTATAAAAACAGCGATGGTGAGATTCAAATGGTGAGATTAAAGCTACCACTATTCATGGTTTATTATGTGTGCCTGAGATTAAAGCCACCACTATTCATGGCTTTATTATGTGTGCCTGAGATTAAAGCTACCACTATTCATGGCTTTATTATGCCTGTGTCAGCCACACAGGGCACAGAGAAATCACCATCCCATCCAATATATTCAGTCCGGCAGGTCCACATTATTCTTTACAAATGTTGTAATTTGAATATCAATGCATTGGCAAGGCCAAAA